GTGTTCTTTTTGGACCAAAAATCTTTTGGCCCATCGACAAAAACCTTGCCCATTTTGCCCATCGTTTTTTTCCGATACAATAGAAGTTTGCCCATTGTACTAAAAATCCTGGTTACGCCGCTGTTACTCATCATTACTTTCCATTCGCATATGGAAATCATTGTATCTAATATTTGTATTTTTTCATGTTCCGTAGTAGTGCCACTACTTTCAATTGCTGCTTGTAAATAAGAAATTGCTAAATCAAAATGCTTCTTAGCCAGATCATTCTCTTTCGTATACTTATACAAACCGCCAATGGTTTCATAAATGTTACCAATATTAATTGAACAATTTAATTCATCATCTTTTAAATAATTGAGCCAAATTTTTATTGCTTCATCATACAGTGATATTGATGTACTCATATCGTTCCACATAGCTTGACAAAAAAGTTTATAAGCGAATATCCATTCTTTTTCCAATGGAAATACATTCATTAATTCAGTAAACAGCTTAGTAGGGTCCTTAGACATACGAGAAATTATTACATAATTGTCTATATATTGTCTGATACAGTTTTTTATAATTCTTTTCAGACTTCCATCTATTCTTTCTTCAACATAAACATTATCTAAAGAACATTTAATTATCCAAACTTTGTCATTTTCATCATATGTTACATCATATTCTGGCATACCAAATTGCATGCCAATCATAAATAAAATTTCCGCTTCATCATGAAAATAACTTAAATGCGATATATCACCGTAGGGACGATTCTCTTTTGCAGTATCAACATTAATTTCGAAGAAAACACGTTCTAATCCTACCAATTGTTTTGATGATTTAATAAAATTCAATGCTACATTGCGATTGAGTGAGGTTGATAACAGACAATTGTTCACCTTAAAATTCCTCCATTGATATTGTCTAAGTCCTTCAATTTCATTCATTGACATTAATTGTCCACGATACAGTTTTATCTTTGGATTGTCTTGATATTTTGATTTTAATTTTTCATGCTCTTCTTTCAGTTGATGATACAAGTCTTTTAGATAGAAGCCAAATAAAAATACCAGTTGAACATCATGTTGGCGTAGGCCTCTGTTTAACAGACGATAGAAAAATGTGTCACGTGTATACCATCAGACAGCTTTCGACGGTTCATAACTGATTTGAAATTCGTTTATAACTTTCATTTCTTCCTCTTTAGTGGGCATTTATAAAGCACATCCGATGAAGATTTTTGTTTTTTGACACTCTAGTACACGGTAGTCCTTAGGCAGTATAATAGCAAACGAACCGCAGTTTTGGCCCTTTCCTGGAAGTAGCAACAAGTATTATTCATCGAACAATATAAGAAATTTGTAAGTTACAAAAAATCAGAGAACAGAGGAGAATGAATAACTAACAAATAAACGAAAACTAGTTTAATGGTCAATAATATAAAGCTTCTCTTTTGTAAACAATGCGACAGCAGAAGAAGTGGAAAACATCATATAACAGTTTTCAAAGGTCTTATTCTCAGCTAGCCGTTATCAAAGACTAGTATTTCTTACATTTATCTTCTGTGGTGTCTCACTTGTAGATATTTTTCTTGTTTCGAAATGCAATAAGTCAATTGAATAGATTCAAAGAATCATATATATTTTTTTTATGAGGAACGCGTATTCAAACGACACATCGTGATAAATTTCACTTATCGGTTTTTTGCATTTTCTTATTTCCTGTACTTTTGAAAAAATTCAGCTCGTAAAACTTGAAAAATTTTCGAAAATGATAAAACTTTTCGTTCATACGATTCGACGACATCGTATAACATGTGAAACTTTTGAACGTCTGATGTATCATTTATTAATAATACTTAATAATTTTCAGAAAGGTTCCAAAGTTAGTAGACTACACGTCCAAGAAAAATTTTCGGAAATACAGATAATTCGACAAAAATGCATGTTCTCAAAAGTTTGACTACAAGTGAAAAACGCCGTTGACGGTTTCTGAGACAAATCGTTGAGTTAAAAGGCAGTAATGGCAAACTCTGTTTTCCTATCGAGAATTAGTACCAAGCAGAATGAAGTGTGCTACGACTCGACGTAATGTCAGCGACATCAGGCGATTATGTATTATTAATTGATTAATAACCATTGCCCCGATCAATCCCCTTTACTTCATGTCCGGTTTTGTTCGGTGTTTCCCAGTCTATTTGTTAAACATCATTTGTTAAGTTGCCTCCAGAGGTCGGGTTTCTGGAAAACCAGCTTTTCAGGAAGTCTAAAAATAACCGAACTTTTCTTAATGCGGCACGATTGTAGACTGCAAATTTCTGATTAAAATGAGATATCTCCCAGCTCTGCACGACCCTTCCTTGCAAAGTTATAGAATTTACACGAAAAGCCCTAAATGTTCATTGTCAGCTCAAAGCTACAGAAATAAGAAGAAATTAATTTTGGGCTTCTCGTGTAAATTCTATAACTTTACAAACAAAGGTAGTGCAGAGTTGGGCGATATCTCATTTTAATCCAAAATTTGCGGTCTATAATTATAAATCATTAAGAAAGGTTTGGTTATTTTTAGACTTTTTGAAAAGCTGGTCTTCCAGAAACCCGGTCTCTGGAGACCTGATAGCACTAACCGATATCAGATTTAGATTTAGCGCAGTCGATTACCTAATGTCCACTAGATTTCAAGCCAAAGCCGATTGCACACTTGGGGACCTTTCCTCGTTACTGTCACTCAAACACAATAGGACAATAGATCAAGGGGGAAAAAGGGGAATGGGACGGAATAGCCCATTCCGTCCCATTCCATACCATTCCATACCACTCCATACCATTTTTTCCATTCTCTTTTTTTGAGAGACTTATAGAATGTGCCGGAATGGGCCACATTGGCGCTCAGTGAGAACTTCTATTCCCTTGACTGTAAAGGAAAGTTAAAACGTCTGTATGTATGTTTGTAGGTATGTATGTCCACAGAGCAACACCCAAAATTGCTCTATGTTTGTAGTTTCATGGCATACAGTCATGAAACTTTCACACTAGAGGTATTCGACTATGGGGACTCCGAAAATGACTATGAGCGACCTCTAGGATCGATTCTATTGGTCGAAAATTTCATTTCGGCTTGATTGGATGGTGATTTCAACCGGTAAATAACCAGTATATACAAAAAGTTTGTCGCATTGATGGAGACCTGTCTCTTTCGAAAGAGCATCAAATTCTGAACAAGAAAATGTATTTTTGCACTTTTCAAAATTCTGCAAACACCCCCGGGATAATCATGGAGGGTTTAAACTTTCAAGGTTTTAGGGCATATTTGCATTGCGATTTTCGCAACCAAATCAAATGCTAGTGCTTGGAAACTTTCAGATCACATAGAACACGCAATTCTGAACAACTTTGCCTCAAGAATCAACTCTCTAAGTCGTCACCATCATGTATACCATCACTTTCAAAATGG